TCTCAGTCGGCCTACTTCTACTTTAAACCAACAGATCCAGAGACAATGGCCCCGATGGGATGGAGCCCGAAGGCGTCATCGAGGTGAGATTGCACTCCTGAGCCACTGTCTTTAGTCCCTGGGAAAGGCAATGTCTCCTGGTTTCTGGAGAGCTGCTTGCCTAACTCCCAAGTAGATGACTTCTCCTACCCATCCTAAGTCCTTTCCAGTGATCTGTTCCAAATCGGTAGGTCCCTGAGTGTGTGTGAAACACGTCCTGTGTGTTGAGTCTCCTCTCTCCTATACTATCCAGCCTCTCCTCTTACAAGCGGACCGGCCCCTTAGAGTGACTTCCCAGACCGCGTAGAGCCAACCAGCTTCCCAGGTGGGAGGAGAGGCTGTGGGCTCTGGAGCTTTGGTCCTGTTTGCTCCGCTTCTGGGACACCGCGTCGCTTCTTCTACCATTTGAATTGTTTTGTGCCCCACAGAGTAACTGGAACGAGATCGTTGACAGCTTTGACGACATGAACCTCTCCGAGTCCCTTCTCCGGGGCATCTATGCCTATGGTTTCGAGAAGCCTTCTGCCATCCAGCAGCGAGCCATTCTTCCTTGTATCAAGGGTAAGATAAGATCCCTCTGCCCCAGAATGAGTTCTGCGTGGTCCCTGACCTGGGTGGAGTGGCACCTGGTCAGTGGTGCCAGCCTCATATCAGTCTGGGGCAAAGCAATTCCTTGTTTATCCCAGCTTGGCTTTTGGTTTGTGCCGGTGCCTGGTTCATGCCCTGGACACATGGATGGCTGGTTGGATTTCAGTAAGGTGGTATTTTAGCCAGTTCTTCACTGCTATTGGTATTTTAGGTCAAAGGTCAATTCTGGGCAGTCCTAAATGAACGAATAATCTAACTTGGTTTCCAGATGTCCCCATTTGGGCACTAGGTTGTGGCGCGGTAAAGTCTGGGAGGCACTAAATGCTTGGCACTTAGCTCTTATCAATTGCTTGTTGATGGAGCAGAGCCTTGAACATCTGTCTCCTGAGAGCAACGTGTACGTACCCTCACGTCAAGTTTCTTCTACTCTGTTTAGGTTATGATGTGATCGCTCAAGCCCAGTCTGGGACTGGGAAAACAGCCACTTTTGCCATATCGATCCTGCAACAGATCGAATTGGATCTCAAGGCCACACAGGCCTTGGTCCTGGCGCCCACTAGAGAGCTGGCTCAGCAGGTGAGCGTGTGGCTTCCCTCCCCTGGAGGGTGCTCTGGGGAGGAGCATAATCAAAAAGTCCGAGGTGTGCTCCCTAAGGGCCACCACCTCAAGATCTGAAGCGTTGGGGAAGAGACATCTAAAGAAAATGAGCCAAGGCCTGCTGGATCTCTGCAGGCTGGCTGGGGTTAATTATATGCCCTTTCCTACCGAACAATAAGCATCGTTTCCTCCGCCCATTTCCTGAGTCCAGGGAAAAGGCAGCTAGGTGGAGCCCGGCTGGCTGAGCAAGTTTGGTGGCTGTTGTGTGAACAAACCCCCTGGTGATGGGCAAAGAGACACCTCGGTGATGGTGCTGCTCTTATATCAGCCTGGGGCAGAGCAGACGCAGTCCTTTGTTCATCCTAGCTTGATGCCTGGGTTGGTGGCCAGAGCTGTTTCATGCCTGGGGCACATGAAATCCTAACGATAGACTTTTCTTGGGTCTCGGAGGAGAGAGAATGAGAAACGTTCGTTTCCTAATTATTTTTAAAAAATTGTTTTTCAACGTTTATTTATTTTTGGGACAGAGAGAGACAGAGCATGAACGGGCGAGGGGCAGAGAGAGAGGGAGACACAGCATCGGAAACAGGCTCCAGGCTCTGAGCCATCAGCCCAGAGCCCGACGCGGGGCTCGAACTCCCGGACCGCGAGATCGTGACCTGGCTGCAGTCGGACGCTTAACCGACTGCGCCACCCAGGCGCCCCTCCTAATTATTTTTAAACCCTCGGTAGGGAAGTTATGATTCTCTGCTAACTTGTAGATACAGGTGAAGTAAGTAAAGAAGTTGGGGAAGGATTCCTTAGGGCATTAGTGGGCAGAACACACTTTTTTCAAGAGCAAACATGGCATCTAGCATCGATCGGTTCAGTGGCAGAAGGACGTAGGTAGAGGTCATTCCGTTCACTGAACTGGTCGCTTTAAGATCTAACGAATGGGTCGCTCTTGGCTTTTAGAAAGGGCTGTTACTGTGAATCCTTGTATTCTTCGGGACCAGACCAAGTTCAGATCCTGTGCCTGCCCCTTCTTGGCAGCGTGGTCTTAAATGAAGTCGTCTGCTTGTTTCTTGTCCAGGAAGTGAGTTTAACGGCACATGTGTGATCTGGAGAATGACATGAGAAGCCTTTCCGGTGGGGTCTGGCACGGTTGTAGCTAATCTACGGGTCCTTCTGTTTCTCTGGGTTCAGATACAGAAGGTGGTCATGGCCTTGGGAGATTACATGGGTGCCTCCTGCCATGCCTGCATCGGAGGGACCAACGTACGTGCCGAGGTGCAGAAGCTTCAGATGGAAGCACCCCATATCATTGTGGGGACCCCGGGACGTGTGTTCGACATGCTTAACCGGAGATACCTATGTGAGTGTCCGCTTTCTGCTTCCCCGTCTTCCCTGTCCTCACCTGACTACAACCTCGTCCCCTAGGCCGTCTGTTTTCGCCAGTGGAAGAGTTGCTCTGTGATGAACCCATGCGTGTCATCTGAGCCTGGTTTGGCTCCCCTGTCTTCTCAGCCCGGGGAGTGTTCTACTTCCCAGGCCTGTCGCCTGGCCTGGCACGGGGGTCCCAGGCAAAGGATCAGCCTTTGTATTCTGAGAGCAGACCTCTCATCCGTTCTTTCTCTGGAGGTTGAAGCCTGACTTCATAGTTCTCTAGTTTTGTTACCTGTTGTTTTTCCTGTCGTAGCTCCCAAATACATCAAGATGTTTGTGCTGGATGAAGCTGACGAAATGTTAAGCCGCGGGTTCAAGGACCAGATCTATGACATATTCCAGAAGCTCAACAGTAACACCCAGGTGAGCAAGCCGTTAGAGACTGGTGTGGTTGCGGGGGGATAGGACAGCGATGGCAAGTGCCAGAGAAACCACAGGAATTCTGGGTGTCTCGCTTCGGGCCTCTTTACACGCCGGCTTCTGTTTGAGGGGGCAGGCATCGTGGAGGAGCCCCTACCCCGAGGCTTCTCTTTTCCCTCAGGTGGTCTTGCTGTCTGCTACGATGCCTTCCGATGTGCTCGAGGTGACCAAGAAGTTCATGAGGGACCCCATTCGAATTCTGGTCAAGAAGGAGGAGTTGACCCTGGAGGGTATCCGCCAGTTCTACATCAATGTGGAACGAGAGGTGGGGCCCCGGGGCAGGGGGCGGGCCTGGTGGTGTGTCGTTGGTACAGCCCCTGATCTCCCCGCCCCCGTCCCGCCCCCTCCAGGAGTGGAAGCTGGACACACTGTGCGACTTGTACGAGACCCTGACCATCACGCAGGCAGTCATCTTCATCAACACCCGAAGGAAGGTCGATTGGCTCACCGAGAAGATGCACGCCCGAGACTTCACCGTGTCCGCGATGGTGAGTTCTCTCCACCCGGCTACCGGCAGCGCGTGCATCCGCGCCCTGCTCACCACCGGTCCTCAGGACGCACCCTCCATTTCCTGTTCCAGCACGGAGACATGGACCAAAAGGAGCGAGACGTTATCATGAGGGAGTTCCGCTCTGGCTCTAGCAGAGTATTGATCACCACTGACCTGCTGGTGAGTAGAGTGGACTCGGGAGAAGACTGGGAAGGAAGAAGGGAAAATCCAAGGTGATTCCCTCTCCAAGGGGCCTGCTCGTGCCCCTCTTCAGGAAAGTAGCAGCTTGGAACAGAACCTGGCAAGCCTCAGGCCATTGGGGGAGGGGAGGTTTGTTTCCTTTGCCTGCCTTCGGCTGCCTACACCGCGCTCCAGTCCCTCCTGCACCGATACTGTGCTCCTCTCTTTTCCCTTGCTCACCTCTTGTTCACACGCTGACCCGTCCTCTCCTTTGCCCCAGGCCAGAGGCATTGACGTCCAGCAGGTTTCCTTAGTCATCAACTACGACCTTCCCACCAACAGGGAAAACTACATCCACAGGTAAGTGTGGCTCCGGAACGTGGCCTCCCCTCTCCCTGTGCTGCGGCTCCCCCCCCCCCCCGCCCTGGCCCCCCTTCTCTTCATCCTACCTACCGAGGCACCCTGTTTTCCGCCAGAATTGGTCGCGGTGGACGATTTGGCCGTAAGGGTGTGGCTATCAACATGGTGACAGAAGAAGACAAGAGGACACTTCGAGACATCGAGACCTTCTACAACACCTCCATTGAGGAGATGCCCCTCAATGTTGCTGACCTCATCTGAGGGGCTGTCCTGCGCCCTGGCCCTACCCAGGCTTCAATCCTTGGGGGGCTGAAGAGGAGCAGGAGGGGGGAGGGAAGGGAGCCAAGGGATGGACATCTTGTCATTTTTTTCTTTTTTTTTTTTTTTCTTTGAATAAATGTCACTTTTTGAGGCAAAAGGAGGAACCGTGAACATTTTAGACACCCTTTTCTTTGGGGCAGATTCCTGCCCCAGGCGCCGTCTCTTCTCCCAAAAACACTAATCCATGTCCGTAACCCACTCAGCCTCCAGACCCCAGAAGCTCTCCCCCACCCAGCTGCCCGCCTCTAAAGAGGATTCAAGGGGCTATAGTGTCACCCAACCTCATTTGCTGGACCAAATCTGGAGAACCCTTGAGCTAGGTGGCCCATGGGGTTGTCCCCAGGTGGGGGGAGCAGGGGAGAGAAAATGGTAGCCATTTTTACATTGTTTTGTATAGTATTTATTGATTCAGGAAACAACGAAATTCTGAATAAAATGACTTGGAAACTGCCTGTTGGGCTTCTCATTTCTTGCCTCCCCTTCCCTCCCACCCGTTACTGGGTACATCTCTGGCTGGGTCCCCAGCTACTACCCTTCTAGATTTCCCTTGTGTCGCTGCTTCCCAACTATGTGACCGGGAAATGGTCACGATGACTGGGTAACATGACCCTCTGTACGTGGTTGGGCGTGGGCACCATCACAAGTGCCTCACGTGTCTCCAAGAGGAAGTAACAGATGGAGGGAACAGGGAGTAAACCGCCCCCCCCACCCCTTCCTCTAGGGGAACAGGGGGGGGCGGGGGCATTTCCCCCCCCCCCCCCCCTTCCCTCACAGCTTGGAACCCCTCCCCTCAGGGCTTTCCTAAAGCAGACAAGTGAGTCCCCATGGGACAGCTGCCCCCTAACTCCCTGTGGCTCATTCGTGCAGCCAAGGCCAATCCCCTAATTTGGTGATGACAATTCAATGACTAAGCGGTGGCTGGGGCTGAGGTGCTTGAGTCAGGTTGGGGACAGGCACTGTCTGTCTCAGTTGCAGGAAGTCATAAGCTTAATTCCTCCTTTTCCAAAAGAGCGGAGGGAACAGGGTTGAGCAAGCAGCTGGGACTGACTGAACCTACCTGGACCGACTGGGTGAGGCTGTCCTGCCATGAGGCTGGTGGTGGTTTTCTCGGGGGCCTTGTTGGGGCTTCTAGTCGGTAAGGAGACAGGCCCAAAGGGGAGGGGCCCTGGGGGGAGCGCGCCCCTGGGCCACTAACCAGGCTGTTCCTCTGCCCAAAGCCCAAGGGACAGTGAATAGCTGTCCTCACAAAAAATCGGCCACTCTGCTGCCATCCTTCACGGTGACACCCACAGCTACAGAAAGCACAGCAAGGCCCGCGACCACCAGCCACAGAACCACCACCACGGGCGCCACCAGCCACGAGCCCACAACGGCCACCCACCATACGGTCACCACCCCCAGTCACGGGAACGCCACGGTTCACCCGACGACAAACAACAGCACGGCCACCAGCCCGAGAGCCCCCACCACTGCCCCCCACCCGGGACCCCCTCCACCCCCTCCAAGCCCGAGCCCAGGCTCCAAGGGCGCTGTAGGGGACTACACATGGACTAATGGCTCCCGGCCCTGCGTCCGGCTCCAAGGCCAGATCCAGATCGGAATTCTGTACCCGACCCAGGGCGGAGGAAAGGTAAAGCTGGGGGACCGTGGACGTGAGGGGAAGCCAGTGAGGCCACAGGCCGTGGCTCAGAAGGAAGAGTGGAGGAGGGCGCGGGGTGGGGACGAAGGAGACCTTGGATGGCACGGCTGCGTTGCCTTACAAAACTGCTGAACTTCTGCAGGCCTGGGGCATCTCTGTGCTGAACCCCAACAAAACCAAGGCGCAGGGGGACTGTGAGGGTGCCCACACCCACCTGCTTCTCTCGTTCCCCTACGGACAGCTCAGCTTTGGATTCAAGCAGGTACTTCGCCCTCAGCCCTCACCCTCCACGCGCCCTTTCCCTCCCTGTCCCTCGCTGCGCCCCCGACCCCACGAACACGGACGCCACTCTCCCCAGCCACCCTGAGCCTCCCCGGTCCCCTTCCCAGGAGCCACAGCAGAGCGCTGTCTACCTGAGCTACGTGGCTCTGGAGTACAACGTGTCCCTTCCACAGGCGGCACGTGAGTGACCTCCCCTCCCGTCGTCCCTTGCACTGGCTGCCTGCGCTCCTGCGAGGGGGTGGGGGGGCTGAGCCGAGGGGTGGGGACACGGACACAGAGCTGACCCTTCCTCACTCTTCCAGAGTGGATGTTCTCCGTTGAGAACTCATCCCTTCACGCTCTCCAAGCCCCCCTGGGCCAGAGCTTCAGCTGCGGGAACGCAAGCCTCTCTCTCTCCCCAGCACTGCGCCTTGACCTGCTACACCTGAGGCTCCAGGCTGCCCAGCTGCCCCCCTCAGGGGCCTTTGGGCCAAGTAAGACCTACTCCTTGCCTTACCCGTCTCCCCAGCCACCGCCCCCCCGCCCCGTGTCCCTGTCCACCCCGCCCCACCCCAGGCCTCCCTGCTCCCACCCCGAAGTTGCCTTCCTCGCTCAGGCTGCTCGTAACTATAGAGCACGTGTTCTTCCTCCAGAAGACTCTGTCCCCTTCTCCCCTTTTATCTACTGCTCAGAGTCAGCTAGGAGAGCTCCTCCCCAGTCCCCCTACTTCCCTACAAGCGCCACCTCCCCTCCACCCTCTTCCCACCTGCCCCCAGCACCACCACCACGCCTCCCTGCCCTCCCCTTCGGCCAGGTTTCCCTTGTCCGACTGACCAGTTCCTCCTGCTGCCCCTCGTCATTGGCCTGGTCTCCCTGGGCCTCCTCGCCCTGGTGCTCGCTACGTTCTGCATCGTCCGGAGACGCCCGCCCACCTACCAGCCCCTCTGAGCTCGAGGCCCAGGGGCTGCCTTCACTCCTCACCACTCAGCTGACTCAGAAACAAAGCGGCCTTCCTTCCCTCTCAGTCTTTGAGAACAAAAGTACAGATAATGCAACCTGGGGGGGGGGGGACGAGAGGAAAGAGGTTTATTGAATGTGATGAGTTTCTCCTCCCCCGTCCCCAGAAAAATAAAACTTGCTCCAACCTCTGTCTTTGCTTTCCCCCGTCCTTCTGGCTGGGATGAAAAGCCGTGAGTTTCTTGAAGAGTCCCGTGCCTTTCTGCGCCTTCCGCGGTGGAGTCTCAGGGAGCCAGACAGCTAGTGAGGGACGAAAACACTATGTATGACCACATGTCCTCATGGGTTCGTCCCCCCCACCGCCGCCAACCTGGCAGAGGCTGGTGGAGGGTCTGCCTCCACCCCTTCCTCCTCCTCTGGGGCCCCTGGCTGGCGGCTCTGGTTCCCCCACCCCTCCAATCCTGTTAGGCAAATACAGGTGAAGCAGACAGATCACACCTGTGCCATTTCCTTTCCCAAGGCCCCTTAGCAACGGAATGCTCTGCCTTGCCCGTGCTCCTCTCTCACCTGCAAAGGGTTTCATCAGCCCTGGCAGCAGCAGGTACCCTGCCCTGCACGTGCAATTCTCCTCTGTGCTCCTAGGAACAACATGCCTTCAGCCTGAGCCACCCACCAAGCCGACCCTGAAGTCCTCCCAGTGGCGGTCTCCCTGGTGGGAGTGGGTGGCACCCCGGGACAGCCAGTGTCCTGAATCTAGAAAGGGCCTCCCGTACAGCCACAGCCTGCACCACGACTGAGGGTCAAGGGGCAATGGCTGGGGGGTCAAGACGCGACCGTTCCGGTCTCGTAGCCTAGTATAAGGTCCAACATCCACCCAGCGGGGGGCGGCCTGCTCGCGGCGCGTCTCCCCAGCAGCCCCACCACCGCGTCCCCGACGTCCCGTGTGACCCTGCTGAGTATGGCCAAGAACGGCCGCTCGACAGCGTGGTGGCTGCGGCGGCGCCCGGCCGCCAGGGTGTGACGGCCAGGCCCACCTCCACCAGGAGGACTGAGAGCTGGGGTCCCAGCGCTGGGGGGCGGAGGGCATCGTTCCCACCCGGCGGTCCGAGGGCCCCTTTCCCAAGAGGGGCTGCTGGGCCGCTGCTGTTCACGCCCAGCACGCGGCGGGGCCGACGGGGTGGGAGAGAGCCCTCGGGCATGTGCCGAGCCTCGCGGGGCCTGGGATCGCCTTCCCCGCCGCCTCCTCTTCTGCTTCGCGGTCCCGGCCCGGCAGCTGCCCAAGCACCCAGCCTCGGAGGCCCAGGCGAACCGGGGGAGAGACACGGGCCCTGCGCGCAGCTTCGGCGCCGACCGTCCCGCTCCCGCCGGCGCCGTTCCTTCTGGAGACGCCGAGAGCACAGGAGACGGGGAGCCACACCGCCCCCACCCGACGCTCTTTCGCAGACTCCTGCTCCTTCTCTCTCAACTTCGAACAAGGCGAGGTCTGCCGGGCGAAGACAAGATGGCGCCGCGCAGGAGGCGCCGAGAGGAGGCTAAATGTGGCCTCCGAATTGGAAGCGTAAACAAAGGCGCGAAAGATGGAACTGCGCAGGCGCACAGCCTTAGCACGCCGCAAAACTCGAACAGGGAGGGCGCGTCCAAAACGTGGTCTCTGGACGAGACCTATTTCACGCTGCAGAAAGTGGGGAGGAGTAAGAAAAAGCGGGGAACAGGGGGCGGTACAGCTGAGTCGCGGGGAGGTAGGGGGCGGAGTGTCCGGAGCGCGCATGCGCACCGTACGTCAATGGCGGCCAGGAGAGACTGGCGGAAGCTAGTTTTGCAACATGGCGGCCGAGGCGGACGGCCCGCTCAAACGAGTGCTGGTGCCGCTTCTCTTACCTGAGAAATGCTACGACCAAATTTTCGTCCAGTGGGACTTGCTTCACGGTGAGTTTAATTCGGCATCCTATCAAAGTTCTGCTCGAGCGCCCTCGGCCGTAAGCGGGGCGTGACTGCGGGTTAGGTGGCCGCGACTGCGGCCCCGCAGCGCTGGGCGGAAGTCACTCCAGACCGGGCCGGAAGTGCCTCGGTCTCCTTAGAGGGAGCTCGCCATATTTGGGCGGGAGGAAGGCGGAACCACTCCTTTGTGAGGCTTGCGCTTTAGCGATGGTCCCCCCGGACCGAGGGACTCAGATTTTACAAAACAAAGTTAAAATCTGACCAAATCGTTCCAGTCTTTAATAGGTCACAATTCTTTCAGGGACCAAGTTACACTTGTTTCAAAGGCTCCTTCCATCCTCCGCTTCTGCTCTTGGTTTACTTTTGGAACAACCCGCCTTCTTACTCCGTCTGTCAGGCAGTTGCACACAAAGCCCACCTCAGGCACCAGACCCTTTAGGAGGCCTTCCCAGTCTGTTCTTGTCAGTTTCTGGTCCGCCACCGCGCTCCTGGGACACGATTTGGTCGAAGTCATGACTCCCGCTTGGCTAACCAAGCTCCTTGGGCGGGTAGAGCTTCCAGGATCGGAAGATGCGGGCCAGGGACAGAGGGTTCAGGCATGAGGGACAGGGAGACCTGTCTTTGGAATGGATCCTAGTTGTTCAGGAGAATAAAGGCTTGGAGGACCCTTGGGCATTGCTCAGCTTTTCAGTGAAGCAGTGGAGAGCCTTAGAAGTCAGAAGAGCAAGAAGTTTAGCTGTAATCTGCACGGTATAAGCTGCTTTGGAAAGTCACCTGCCTGACAGTGATAGGATTTGAAGCAGGAAGGGCCATACAGCCCAGGGCTTCCTTGTGTGGGCAGGTCAGGGTCTAAAGGAGCAGCGACAAGCATAGGAGCATGAAAATCCTTTATTTACCCCTGGCCTGGGGGCCAGGGACCTCCTTCCATGTACCCCTTTTTCTCTTCTCAGTTCCCTGTCTCAAGATCCTCCTCAGCAAAGGCCTGGGTCTGGGCATTGTGGCTGGGTCTCTGCTGGGTATGTATCTTCTCTTCTCTTCCAGTTGTGGGGATGAGGGTGGAGGGCTGAGAGGCTGTGAACTGGGCAGGTCCCTTGACCAGAACCGGGGTTAACAGGCTTCCCAGGCCACTCTGTAGCTGTTGAGTTGCACTCCCACGGGATGTCGTCTCCTCATCCCTGCCTTTCTCATCCTTTCTCTTAGTAAAACTGCCCCAGGTGTTCAAAATTCTGAGAGCCAAGAGTGCCGAAGGGTTGAGCCTTCAGTCCGTGATGTTAGAACTGGTGGCGTTGACAGGCACCATGGTCTACAGCATCACCAACAACTTCCCCTTCAGGTGAGGGGGGCTGCCCTTTACCCCCCAGGCTGAATGCTGACAACTCTAGCGGGGCGTTGGGGAGAGGCAGATGCAGGGGCAGGAAGCCTTAAGATTTCCTCCTGGAAATCTGGCCATTGTTTGTGGCCGTGATGAGAGGGAGGTGAGCCTCCCAAGAATGCCCGGGATCTGGACTGAGTCAGTCGGGTGGGGGCTGTTTGGAAACCAGTAGGGCTGTGGAGGACAGGGAGCCATCAGAAGTGTGTCCCCAGATGGACGGGCCATGGAGGCTCTCCCTGCCTCTTTCCAGGCCCGCCTTTCTTCTTCCCAACTCTTGACTCCGCAGCTCTTGGGGTGAAGCCCTGTTCCTGATGCTCCAGACAGTCACCATCTGCTTCCTGGTCCTGCACTACAGAGGACAGACTGCGAAAGGTGCTGGGGATTTACCCAAGAGCAGAGTGTGGCTCTTGGGGGCCCTGCCGGGAACTCGCGCTTGGGGAAGGAAGCCAGAGCACTGGAGAGGTTGATCGGGACTCCTTGTCTCCCCGACCCCCAGGTGTCACTTTCCTAGTGTGCTATGCACTGGTCCTGCTGGTCCTGCTGTCACCACTGACGCCCCTGTCCGTGGTCACCCTGCTCCAGGCCTCCAACGTGCCTGCTGTAGTAGGGGGGAGGGTGAGTACCGGGAGCAAGAGAAGGATATTGCATGGGGTGAGCATGGTAAGAGTTCAGATGACAGAACCGAGTCCCAATTTCCCCCCTAGCTGCTCCAGGCAGCCACTAACTACCGGAACGGGCACACAGGCCAGCTCTCCGCTGTCACGGTCTTTCTGCTCTTTGGGGGCTCCTTGGCCAGAATCTTCACCTCCGTTCAGGTGAGTGCACCTTCTGCCCTCTAGAGGGCGCTAAAACCTGGTCTCCTGGCTCTCCAGGGAGGGCTGCTCAAGTGACCCCGGCTGTCTCTCTCACCTAGGAGACCGGAGACCCCCTCATGGCTGGAACCTTCGTGGTCTCTTCCCTCTGCAACGGCCTCATTGCTTCCCAGCTCATCTATTACTGGAACGTCAAGGCCCCCGTCAAGAAGAAAAAGCAGTAGGGATGAGCCGGCTACTGGAGTCCGCTCCACGTTTCCATCCACCCACCAACCCTCAGGGTCGTGCTCATCCGAACCAGTCCGCTGGTGTGACTTTTAACCATTCATTCCACTGCAGTTGTAAAATTCTGAGCCAGTTTTAGTGGAACTGCAGATCCTTAGAAGGGGTAGGGATTTCCAGGCTGATGTTTGGCAGTTCCTGCCCGCTGTCCCGTGCATGTACTACCGGTTCGTTTATTTTGGCTGAGATTCCTCCTACTTAGGTATTCTGGGGCCAAAGTCGGCCCTGTCCTCCCCATCTCCCTACTTCCCTGATGGCCTAGAGGACAGAGTCTGGCCAGTGGAAGGAACTAGGGGTTTGCGGCCGCCTCCCTCCCTGAACCTGGTTGGGACGGTCTCCAGGACCCCAGTGCTGGGTAGGGGGTGGGGAAGGGGGACGAGAATGACTCAGGCAGGGCCCCAGGGTGGGGTGAGGAGGTTCCTGCTCTGGCAGGTCCAGGCGGAAGGGAGTGGAGGCTGCTGGTTCCTGCTGCAGTGAAGGGGAACAGAAATGGGGCAATAAAGACTCAGAGACCTGGTTTAATCATAAAAACTGTGTTTGTCCTAAAAAAAAAAATCATGTGTTGTATTTTGGGGGCAGGGTGAGGGAACCGCAGCACAGGCTTCTGAACTGTGGGCCAACAGGGTTCTAAAGAAGGGTTTGCAGCCTGGGGTGGGAGGTTCTGGGTGAAAAAGGAGAGTGAAGCCGTTCCTGGGAGGTCCATGTTCATGAGAGTTAGAGGTGGGTCAGGGGCATGGGGGTCCCTGACAGGGGAGGGTTGTACGCAGTGGGGGAGCCTGGGGGTAGGTAGGGGCTGTAGTGGGGGAGCAGCTCACCCTGGAGCCTCGGGTTACTCTGAGGGAGGGAGCACGGCGACGAGGCCTCTGGTTTGCAGTGGGAAGAGCTGCAAAGAGAGAGACACTGGGGTTAGAGAGCGCGTTCCTGGGTTGGGAGGGGCCGGCAGGGCCCCCCCCCCCCACCCCGACTCACAATTGGGGGCGGGGCGCCTCCGCTCTAGCCAACGGAGGCAGAACCTGTCACCCACGTACCCCTCTCCCTGGCTCTCCGGGCCCCACCGGGTACCGCGGGTTCAGAACCAGAGCCCAGCATGGCTTAAGAGCAGTGCAGCGGCCGTGTCGGGGCACGCTCCGGAGCCGGCTTGCGTGCTGCGCCTGCTTTCCTCTTTCGGGGCAGCAGGCCAGGAAGGGGCAGAGTTGGGCCTGGCCTCTCCTTGCCCCGCGGGCTGGGAGCGGAAGCCGGGTCACGGGAGGGCCAGAAGCGGGGAGGAAACGGGAAATTCAGGTAACTAGAACGTGATCACGTCCGGGGGAGGGGGGGGATGTCCTGCGGGGCTGCCCCTATCGGGCCAGGATGGAAACATCTTTCAGGGAAACCTGGGCCACCAGAGCGCTCCCGGCCCAGGCTTCACGGGGCACTGGGGGTGGGGTGGGTGGGTGTGCCCCCGGTCTCTCCTGGGAACGACCTCTGCACGGGGCGTACTCGGGGCCCCTGCCCGTCCCTCACCGCGCGTCCCAGGCACTCACCCGTAACCGGCAGGCAGGTAAGCTGTCGAGTAGTTGGGCGGCTGGTACCCAAAGCCTCTGCTCCCCTGCGTGGTCGCGTACCCGGGACCCCAGACCGGCCCGCCGCCAGCCACGCCGCCGCCTCCCTGGCCAAAGTGGGGCGGCCCGGCGGCCGCGCTCTTGGTCTTGCGCCGAGGCCGGTACTTGTAGTCGGGGTAGTCGCGCAGGTGCCGCGCCCGGAGCCGCTTGGCCTCTTCCACGAAGGGCCGCTTCTCGTCCTCGCCCAGCAGCTTCCACTGCGCGCCCAGGCGCTTGGAGATCTCCGAGTTGTGCATCTTTGGGTTCTGCTGCGCCATCTGGCGGCGCTGCGCGGAGCTCCACACCATGAACGCGTTCATGGGTCGCTTCACCTTCTCCAAGGGAAGCCCCCCGGACACCACCGGACTGCCGGCGCCTTCCCGCTCCTGGCAGCCCGAGGACGAGTTGGTAGGAGCAGCGGGAGCGGGCGGCTCCAAGCCCCAGGCCTGGTCGTGTGAAGAGCCCGGAAGCGCCATGGGGGCCGGTGGGGTGCAGGGAAGGCTTTAGAGGGCGTCCTACACGCCCTCCCCTCCAAAGTGAAACGCTGATGCCCAGGACCGGTGTCCGGATGATGGAAGGGTCTCCCTAGTCTGGAGTCGTCCCAGAGAAACTCACGGCCTTAAGAAGTATACACGTCGTCCCCAAGTTCAGAGTCTTTAGAATGGAGCGCCTGCTCCCAACCAATCAGGCACCCTCTGGAGAGCCAGGCGCTAAATCCGCTGCCCCGTACCCCGCAGGGGAGGGGATGCCCTCTCCGACCCTTGAAGCCGCGGGGTCCCGGACCCAGCCCGCTGCCCCGCGGTCGCGCTCCCGGTCCCTGGAGTCCCGCGGCCGGATCGCCGCAGCCCCTCTCACCTGGCCTCGGCGTCTGTGGCTGGCGGGTGGGCCAGGCCGGGAACAGCTTTTAGCCAGACTCCTCCCCACTCCCTCCCAGCAGACCGCGCCTCCTTAAGGGCGCCAACGTTCCCCCTCCCTTAGGCAAACCCAGGTGTCCCGGGCCTCCCAGCCCCCAACGCTCCCCCTGGGGCACCACGCCCCCTCCCCACCCAAGACCCAGATGTGGAGCCTTCCGCCCCTGG